TACATCCATCCATATCCAACACCATATCCAACCACATGTACATCCAACCATATCCAACCACATGTACATCCATCCATATCCAACAACATGTACATCCAACCACATGTACATCCAACCATATCCAACCACATGTACATCCAACCATATCCAACCACATGTACATTCAACCATTTCCAACCACATGTACATCCAACCACATGTGCATCCAACCACATGTACATCCAACCATATCCAACCACATGTGCATCCAACCACATGTACATCCAACCACATGTACATCCAACCACATGTGCATCCAACCACATCCAGCCACATGTACATCCAACCACATGTACATTCAACCACATCCAACCACATGTACATCCAACCACATGTGCATCCAACCACATACAGCCACATGTACATCCAACCACATGTACATTCAACCATTTCCAACCACATGTACATCCAACCACATGTACATCCAACCATATCCAACCACATGTACATCCAACCATATCCAACCACATGTACATCCAACCACATCCAAACACATGTACATCCAACCACATCCATACACATGTACATCCAACCACATCCAAACACATGTACATCCAACCATATCCAACCACATGTACATCCAACCATATCCAACCACATGTGCATCCAACCATATGTACATCCAAACACAAGTACATCCAACCATATCCAAACACAAGTACATCCAACCAAATGTACATCCAACCACATCCAACCACATGTACATCCAAACACATGTGTGTCCAACCACATGTACATCCAACCACATCCAACCACATGTACATCCAACCACATCCAATCACGTGTACATCCAACCACATGTACATCCAACCATATCCAACGACATGTACATCCAACCATATCCAACGACATGTACATCCAACCATATCCAACGACATGTACATCCAACCATATCCAACCACATGTACATCCAACCACATCCAAACACATGTACATCTAACCAAATGTACATCCAACCACATGTACATCCAACCACATGTAAATCCAACCACATATACATCCAACCACATGTACATTCAACCATTTCCAACCACATGTACATCCAGCCATTTCCAACCACATGTACATCCAGCCATTTACAACCACATGTTCATCCAACCATATCCAACCACATGTACATCCAACCATATCCAACCACATGTACATCCAACCAAATGTACATCCAACCACATGTACATCCAACCACTTGTACATCCAACCACATGTACATCCATCCATATCCAACAACATGTACATCCAACCACATGTACATCCAACCATATCCAACCACATGTACATCCAACCATATCCAACCACATGTACATCCAACCAAATGTACATCCAACCACATGTACATCCAACCAC